GAGCACCAGCTATTTCCTCTAAACAAAGTGTGTCTTGGAAAGATCTTGTCTTGAAATCAGACACCAGCTTTGGACAAAAGAGAAAAGATTTTCCAGCTGCCTAAATGTGCACATTATCTTACATTTCCTGGATTTGGAGCTGATGGTCAGTTGCATTGATGTAAATATATTGCTTATCTAAAGCTATTTGCTTTAGAGTGCATATCTTAGCTGGATTGTTGGGAGCTGGGACAGAGAAGCTGAGGGCTCTCAATTCAGAGACTTCATTTTTCAGGACCATGTTTTGCTCAGGCTGTCTCAGTTTGAGGGTACTGCTGGATTTCTCTGCAAGCCCTGGCTCTTGGAGTCACACAACTGCATGGGACTTGCAGCTTTCTGGTTTTTTTTTGTTTGTTTTTTGTTTTTTTTTTTTTTTTTTTGTTTAATTAAGTAAGCTTGAACCCTTTGTGCTTACAGAAGAAATGTGAACTTCCAACAAGTCAGAAACTAGGAGCCAAATCAGCAGAGCATGTTTTTAAACCAGAATGGATGGTTTCAACCAGTCCTACTGCTGTAATTCAGCTTTTTCAATGCTTGTGATTGGGGACCGAGGATGGCATTTCCTCCTCTTCAGGCAAAATGGCTTTCCCACCCACTCCATCACATGCCAGGCCAGTCTGACTTGATTTTTCTGGGAATGGGAAAGAAAAAACAAAACCAACAACACTGTTTTCCTGTTATATTCCCGACCCCAGGGCTAGTATGCAGAACAGCTGGATTTTCAGGAGTTGTCCCTGTGCCTGAGGGAGTAGGACACCTGAGCCTTGCTCCCCACGGCTTTCACAGGATGAGAATTTGACCCCATCCAGCTGTGCTGACTTGGTGTTTCTGCCTCTCCTCTCATCCTGTTTTGCTGAATCACTCCTTTCACAAGCCTCTGGAGCTCTTTGTTGGTCCAGGAAAGGAAATGGGAGCCCCAGCCCAGTCAGCTGAGGGTCAGGAAGCTCTGCCAACCTTCCTGATGCTCCTGCTCCTCTTAAAATGCTGATTCTCTGTGCTGGGAGAAAGGGCCATGATAATGAGAAAGCCCTTTCACATCCCAGTGTCTGGCAGTGATTCCCTGGAGGGTCGCAGCAGAGGAATGTGAGTCAGGGATGAAAACCCTGCCAGCAGCAAGCAGTTGCTCCTGGGAGCTGCCTGGCACAAGGACCTTGGATGTGATGGGTTGATTGACTGCTGTCACCCAGCCCCACGCTCTGGCCATCCCTCACCACACACGTGGTGTCTGCACAGCATTCAGGAAAAGGCATCCTTACAGCTGTGCCTCAGCCTGCCTGGCTGCTGCTGCTGCCTGCATTTTGCAAGCATCTCCAGAAATCCCCATGTGAAGGGGACACTGGTGAAGGTAAAGACAGCAGACCCAGGGAGAAAGGAGCCAGGCTAGTAGTCATCAGAGGACTGTGCCACAGAACAGTGATGTTCTGGAGCATCCTTCCAGGTGGGAAAGGGAACAGGAGAACACAGCTTCCTCACGCTGGGGTGAAAAGAGGATTCAGATGCTGCAGGGGTTTGCAGTGTGGGCTTCCAGCCAGCAAATAGTACTGGTGTCCCCAGCTACTGGCTGAGCCCCACAGCTGGAGGGATTTCTCCTGTTCCAGCCCCGGCTTTGCTTGTCTAAAAAGCAAAGTAAGACCCTCTTTTTAGTCAGCTTGGTTCCCCTCCTGTCCTCTGCAGCAAGTCTGGGAGCTGAGCTGTGTCAGGTGTCAGCCAGCATGATGCCAGGTGGGTTGGCCAGTGAGTCGGCCTCACTGCTGGATTATCTGACCTCCCTGCGACATTTCAGGCCTCTGAAGAGGCATGGAGCAAGGCAGAATGCAAGGAGATGCATCCCAGGCAGCTCAAATATTAAACAGCTGAGAAAATCCCAGAGAAATAATGTATTGGTCAAAGGAGGAGGCAAACCCCTCATGAACTCCCACCTTGGAGGCAGCTGGAGAATTTGCTGTAGCCTGGCTGGGCTGCAGCAGCTGTCAAGATGTGAAGAGGGGGAAGAAGAAGCCCATCTTTTTGACACAGTTTGTCCACTCTCCAACCCTGTGACTGAAGACATAAATTGCTTTTTGGGAGAGAAGAACATTTAGGAGGCTTCTGGGCAGTTTGTGGGTGCTCCCAACTGATAAGTGGATGGATGGATGGATGGATGGATGGATGGATGGATGGATGGATGGATGGATGGATGGATGGATGGATGGATGGATGGATGGATGGATGGATGGATGGATGGATGGAGTTTTCCTAGAGAAGCCCAGGATCTCAGGATGTAGGGCTTTCAGCACAAAGGTCAGTGGAGGTATGGAGAACTCACAAGGCAGAGGTGCCCCTTTAGGGATGAAGGCTGCCATCCAGAAAGGATGGGGAGTGCTGGGATGCAGGACAAAAGCTGCTAAGTTGGATGTGCCTGTGAGCTATTTGGAATGCAAGGAGTTGAAAATATTGCATCTCAGTTGACTAATAAAGAAATCTGTTATGCAAAGGCTCATTGCAAAGATCTGTGGGTTGTGGAGTTCCCAAAAGAGGGAAGAAACCTCTCCCTGATGGAGCAGCTCCTGGGGGAGGATGCACAAGATTCACAGAGAAATTGGGGGATGCAGGATTACAAGCACAAGGAGGGATGGATATGCAAGACTCACCTTCCAAAAAAGAGAAAAGGGGAATAAGAGGAAGTATGAAAAGCAGCTGGCAAGAACCAAGGATGACTGGGATGATTTTATGGCTTTGCAAAAAAAAAAAAAAAAACACCACGTCAATTAAAAGTGTTTTAGGCTTTTTGGAGGTGAAAGAAGGAAAGGAGAGAGAAGTAAAAGCCTGGATTGCAGGGAAGGATGCAGAGAGGAATAGCCATCACTCAGAACAGCCATGGCACAGCTGGGGATTGGTTGCAGGAGCATGGGGGCACAAGCAAAGGTTGGTGTGTCAGGAACCAGGAATACAGATTGGTGGGGAAAACCAGCTGGGCAAGAAGCCTTAGAGGTGAGCAAAAGGGTCTGTACTTCTGCAGGGTGCCCAAGTGCCAGGAGCTCATCCTTGTATCCAGAGGGTGGGGGCTTGGAGCCACAGCAAGGCTGAGCTGCCCGCTTGCTCCTGCTTGCATTTTGTTCCTTCTCCGTGTTCATCTGCATATGCACTCAGCTGGCTGAGGAAGAAATGGTGTCCTGTGCTCAGATGTCCTTTGTTGAATGTCCTCTGCAGCATTTTTTATCAGTTACCAGGTATTTGCAGTCTCCCCAGTTACCAGACATCTGCAGTGAGATGTGTCCTTGCTTTTGTGTTCCAGCCCTGGGGTTTGTGTTACACCCTCAGGGCTTGCAGAATATAAACCCCTGTCCTGGGTGAAACCCACTCCAGTGGCATTAGCAAGCACTAGTCTAAGGACATCACCTGAAGTGTCACCCGCCTGCCCTGCAGTGCCAGCCCACCCTCCCCAGGGACTGCAGCCATGCCAGGCCATCCACAATAGCTGCTTTCAGTCCAATTTCACTGAGGGGCAGAACTCTCAGGAGGCTAAGCGGCTGGAAAATAAGCTTCATTCCTCAGCAGATTTGTCACAGCCTTCAGGAAAGTTCCCATGTTGGGACTTGTGCTCAGGCCATGCTTGGCACTGGACAGGCAGAGGGAGGATTGTGTCTCCAACTTGTGCCCCTGGTTGCCATCAGCAAGGATGAGGAAAGTGAGGCACTGGGTGCTAAGAGGGCTTACTTGGGAATGAGCTGTGGCATTTCTGCCGATCATCTGGGACCAACAAGCTTTGGATCCTTCTTCTCAGGGTCTAAAGATGTCCTAAGCAGCCACCCTCAATCTTTGGTGCTTCCCTGCCCTCACAGCACAATGTCATCTCCATGAGTGTTGTGTTGGACAACCTCCATCCCTAAAGTGCCACCACTCAATCCCCATCACTCCAAAACCCAGCAGAGAGGCTGCAGCACAGAAGTCAAGGAAATACAGGACAAAGCCCACACCAGCCATATCTCTGCCCTGTAGTTACAGTATGTTACAAACATTAAATACCACAAACTACCTGTGCTGGATTTACAATAACGTGCCAATATCTGTCAACTACGTTGGACAGTGTGTCCCCAGCCTAAACCAACAGAAAAATGCCAACACCACAGTGAAACATGGAGGGCATGAAGAAGGAGAAAAAGGACAAGACACACCCAATTTCCTCCATCTTGTCCCCTTTGAACCCCTTATCTAGAAACCTAAAATTTTACTTTTGCACCCGTGTCACACTTAATTATTACTCTTATCAAACACTCAAAGCTTGTAATTCATCCTGTAAGATTGAAAACTCTCCATGGACAGAGATCACAGACAGTGTCTCTGGGGGCTCTGTCCAGGGGGGTTCCTGACCCCTGCCAGGGTCCCAGACCTGCCAGGGCAGCCAGAGGGAAGCCCTGGATTCCCACACCTAAGCCCACCCAGCTATTCCCACATCACTTCCCCACTGCTCTCAGGCTCTGCTGGAGCAAAGGGGCCGTGGGATGAGCCCCGGGCCGGTGCCAGCCCCGAGGCAGGGCCGGCCTGCGGGCCCTCAGGGCCCAGTGGAGGCAGGGGCGGCCCGGGGCTCCTCGGGCCTCCCCGGCAGCAGGGACAGGAGGAGCTGAGGGCGAGCACTGCTGCCCTGCTGCCCCACAGAGCAGCCCCGGGTTCATTCTGCCCCAGAGCCGAGGAGCTGCTGAGGCCCAACACCTGCCCACGTAATGGGGGAGGAAGGCCCTGTTGGTTTGCAGTGTGGGATGGATGGGAGTGCGCTGTGGGTGTGGGTGTGGGTGTGGGTGTCAGTAAGGATGTAGGTGTTGGTGTGGATGTGGATGTGGATGTGGATGTGGGTGTGGGTGTGGATGTGGATGTGGCTGTCAGTGTGGGAGTGGGTGTGAATGTGGATGTTGGTGTGGATGTGGATGTGGATATAGGTGTGGATGTGGCTGTGGATGTGGATGTCAGTGTATATGTCTCTGTGGATATGGATGTGGATGTGGGCAAAGCACCAGGTTTATTTGGGCAGCTCTTTGGGTTGGAGGTTGATGTGAGCTGTCGGCAGGGGAGGACTGTCCCCTTCATGCTCCACAAGAGCTGCATGGCGGATCCTGGCAGGTTTGGGGGCTGAGGGCTGGAGATGCCCCATTCCTCTAGAGGGATTATTTATTGAATATTACTTGAAGTCCATTTCCTTTGCCCTGTCTGCCTATTAATGTCTCTCCAGACTATAACCTACCCTTCACCACCCTGACGGGCCTGCTCCATCCATGGTGGGGCCGAGGCCTTCAGGGAAAAGCCTCTTTCTCTCCATTCCCTGCCCTCCTCAAGCTGTCCCAGGTGAGGCCCACAGGGAATTAAATTCATTGAGCTGAAAACTCTACCATGCAGTCTGCAGCTTGGGGAGGGGGCAGCTACCCATTGAGGCAAGGGTGGGCAGTGGTTCTGCAGAGGGGACATGGCCCTGGCACTTGTTTTGCTGTGTGGCTGCAGTGTTGTGTTGAGCTCTTGCACCCTGCTCATGAAGATGGTGCTCAGTGCATCATATCTGGGGATCATTTCCAAGCCCCCACCCTAAATCCTTTGGGATTTCTCTGCCCAAGACTTTCCCTATGCACTTCTCAGGTTTGTGTCAGTGTATGTCTCAACTGGAAGCTCGTAAGTGCTGCCCAGGGAGCATCGGGGTCAGTTTGATCATTCCTCCTCTCCAAAACTGCCCCCATATGCAGAGAGGAGCTGTCTCCCGTTTGCTGCTAGGCCCTCTGGCAAGGCAGGAAAGCAGCTGGAGGGCTGCCTGCCCCAGCAGCAATGCTGGGAAAGCTGGGCTCAGCAGGTTGGTGAGAGGCCCCGTGATCCAAGCCCCGCTCACAGCAGAGCTGATGGAGCCACCGAAGCTTCGGGAGCTGGCTAGTATTTCCCTGCTAACACCCTCCAGAGAGGATCTGGGATTTGGGCTTACTCCTGGCTGGAGGGAGAGGTGAGGGATGGGGCATTGAGTGGGAACCACATCTGCCCGCTCAGACTGCCTTCCTGGGGGGATGTCTGGGAATGGGACAGGGCTGAGCTTATGCAAAATGGATCGGAGAGGCTGGATACCTGCTGGGGCAGAGGGCTTGTCGAGTGGCACATGCTTGTCATCGTCCCTTTGGGTAAGGAACCAACTCCCCCCAGCTGCCCTTTGGGTTGAGTGTGCACTGGGTGCTGTGCTGTGAGTCTCTGGGGACACCACACCATCACCTGCCTGTGCTGTCCAGCACAGGAGTTCTGGCTTGTACAGGAGCCATGTCTGGCCAATTCTGCAATGCCTAAGTGGGATGCCTTTCCCTCTGGGTGGGAAATGTTAGGTTTGGACTTTATTCAGAGTGAGTGTGTGGTGTATGGAGCAGCTCGGACTTCCTACCTCTCTGCCATGAGTTGTTTGGGAATTCCTAAGGACAGTGCAGGACAGGAGGTCTCCTGCCAGCCCAATCCTTGTTTGAATGGGATGTTGACAGCTTGACTGTGTGGTGCTGCTATGAGGTTCTATTTGGCCTCTCAAGGAGAAAATGTGATGGTGTATCCCAATAGCAAGGACATCTCTCCTCCAAGCTGGGTGCAATAACCCATGCTCTGGCTTCTGTCCTGTTTTCTGTTTCTAGAGGCACTAGCTGATCTTCATCAAAGCCCTCAGGTGTTTGCCTCAGTTTCTCTAGAGGCTTACCTGTCCCCATGATGGGACTGTGTTGCAGCCATGACATAACTCTCCTACAGTGAACTCACATTGCCTTTAGTTGCTGGCGTTCTCTTCCCCTACCCGGGTCTATTTGTGTCTCTCACTTGCAGTCTCAAACCATGAACTATGTGGGGCAGCTGGCTGAGAGCGTCTTTGCCACGGTGAAGGAGCTGTACCAGGATCTGAACCCCGCCACCCTGTCAGGCTGCATCGATGTGGTCGTGGTGAGGCAGCCCGACAACTCCTTCAAGTGCTCCCCATTTCACGTGCGCTTTGGGAAGCTGGGGGTGCTGCGCTCCAAGGAGAAGGTGGTGAGTGATGCCTGCCCTGGGGCTGCGCTTCCTTTCCAGTGTCTCCAGACCTGGAATCTTCTATAACCCACAGGTTACAGAAATACTTTGTTTGAGGGGAATGGGAGACCACTGAAAGGGGTGCTTCCCAAGTTTTTGAGGGGAAGCTCCCAAATGGAGCCTATCCATTTCCAGGGAGGAATGTGCTCTCCAGGAAAACTGGGAGAGGTCCCTTGCCTCAAAGGCTGCGTGGCTGTGAGCCCTGTGAGCAACTTCAGCCTCTCCATCTGGAAGTGCCCCTGTGCTCCAGTGGATGAAGGGGTTCAGATGGACAGGCTGCTTCTGTCCCTTGCTAGGTTGACATTGAAATCAATGGAAAGCCTGTGGATCTGCACATGAAGCTGGGAAACAATGGAGAGGCCTTCTTTGTCGAGGAGTTAGAGGAGCATGAGGTTGGTTATGAGGAGGTGCTGCATGTCTGTGTCCTGGTTGACTCTCTGGAAGTGCAGTGTTGAGTTAGAATGACCAGGTTTGGCATGCTGCTCTTCCCCAGAGTGACTCCATTGTCCCATCTGATGTTTTCTGTGTCTGGAAAGGTTCCTGCTCAAAGGACCTTGCAACCCACGTGGCTGCACCCTGAGGGACTATTAGACCAAATATCTGCATCCCAGACTGGTCTCCATCAATGGGCATGGCTGCTGGCCAGACAGGTGGATATCTTGGAGCTTGGCCTCTCAGGGGATCTTGTGGCAGAGATGAGAATGAGACAGATGCTGTGGCAGGCTGCCCACTCCAATGGGAAGTGGGATGAGATAGTTGTGGCTTACAGAAATCCTGGCAGCTCTTCTCTCAGGCATACTTGTGGTCACTGCTGGCTTGGGCTGGATTTGGAAGTAGGAAAGGGCTCTGGAGTCAAATCCCATCTGCAACCTTGGTAATTCTGGTATTGTGGTGCCATCTTCTGCCTGTCTCTCCTTGCCCATGTTAAGGATGTCTTTAGCTTGTGGCTGGATCATCCTAACATTCTTTTATTCACATGTTATAGCTATAAATCCTTTCCTTTTAGGCCAGGCCACAAAATCACTTCTGAGCTGAGGGTTCTGTGGTGTTGGTTGTGCAGTTCTGTAACATACTCTATAGAGAGCAAGGAGTGCTAGGCTGAAAAGGAGTCTGCTGGAGGGAGCTGATGGGCTCTGTCCCATCCCTGTTCCACGGCAGCATCCCTTTTTTCCTCTGCACATCCCCCATCTGCAAGAAGTGGTGCCCAAAGGATGCTGTTGAACCCTCCTGTGGGCAGGAGGCCTCGAGCTTTGGAGTGATCCTGCACAAGAAGAGGCAACGCAGGAGAAGGCCCAAGAAGAAGGAGGTGTTGGACTCAGATTCTGACAGCTGTGATGAGACCGAAAACAAGCTGCCAGCCCCAAGGTGAGCTGCTAGGTCTGGGCAGAGTGATGTAGTAGGTCAAGCCTGTGGGTTCATTTGGTGATGCCCAGCAGTACTGAAATAGGAGGAAAGTGTTTGCAAGTTGGGGCCCATGGAGTAGGAAGCCAGGGGGAACGGTGAAATTGGGTATTGCCAGTTTTCTGGAGAGGAGACTGCTGCTTGAGAGTAGCACAAGTTCCCTCTCTTTCCTCCTTTGCAGTGGTGCAGCACATTTATCCCTCGTTGATCTCCTTGAAGTAACTGGGTTGTTGCAGCCCCAAGAGATATACCCGTGCTCTGATGGGGTGGTGCTCAAAGTGGACAGGTAACGGGCAGAGCCAAGGTGTTCTGCTCAGCTCTGGTGGGACTAGGGCACACGCTCCATGGTAGGGAAAGAGATATAGAAAAGTGACTTGAAGGTGTCAGGAGAGGAGAGTTTTTCTAGCTTGATATGGTGTGGCTGCAGGAAAGCTCAGAAATCACAGAGGACACTTGTGGCCATGGTCACAGGCGTGAGAAGCCTGTGTGCACAGGGCTGTCTGCTGATGAGCCGCTCTGGGCAGCTGCTGGCACTTTGCTTCCTTGGGCCTCTGCTTCCATAGGTCTTGGTCCTTTAGGAGTGACAGTCTTATAGGGTAGAAGTGACTTTATGAGAAACCAGCATTACAGGGTTCTTGGCCCTAAATGTCCTTGCACTGGTAGGAGAGTATGGGGCTGCAGTGTACGTGAGGCCTCACATCACCTTCTCTTCCTGCAGCTTCATGGTGGGCCATCAGTATTCTTCCAAAAGTGATTCTGAACTGGAGATCAAACCACGGGGAAGTTTTTCTCTAGCAGCTGAATCCCACATGAAGTGGACATGGGGAAGGCTCCCTCAGGTAGGTCCCTCCTCTTGCTCTTCTGCTGGGAATGACTGTCCAAAAGACTTGCAGAAAGCGGAGGAGGCTGTGGCCAGACAGCCTTTTCTGTGTGATGCTTTGGGCAACTTCCCACCCTCAGACCTGTTCTTCTGCTTTCCTTGAGATGAATAAATTGGTGCAAGTTGAACCAACCAATTCCACAAAGATCACTGCTGCTGCAGCAACCACTATCTCTGCGACACTGGTCCCAGTGGATGAGGCCACTCTTGTTGCCACCTCTGAACATCTGGGAGGGGATTCAAGTCCAGCAGAACCTCAGGGCCATTCCTTGGCTGTGTCTGCAACTGAGCCAACACTTGCACCCCAGACTGGGAATAGCATCTCCAGGCTGAGGAACATCCTCCGTGCTGTCAGGACAAAGAGATTTTTGGGGGCCTACTCAGTCCCACAAGAGAAACAGATGAGAGATGTGAATGTTGTGCCAGAGGTTCAGCCAGATGTGGAGGCCGTTGAGGGAGCCACTGCTCCAAGGCAGGCAGGCTCAGAAAGCCCCACGTCCCAGCTGGAGAGGCAGAGAAGACAAGGTAAGAAGATGACTGGTGCTGCTTGAAGTGGTGTTTAAGCCTGCAGATGTTTCTGACTCAGATGAGCACCTGGGTTGTCCCTTCAATGTAACTCCTGGCTTGACTTGTGTCTTCATCCTGACTTTGCTAAGTCAGGGAAAATAACAGAGAAGCACTTAATGTGCCTTCCTTAACAGTGTATTTAGGGAACATGCTTGTGCAGGTGTCTTGAGGCACTTCTGTTGCTGTTGACTTACTGCAGTTTTTCCTGTAGGAAAATGTCTGCCCTGTTTATATGGTTCATGGATATAAGGAAAATGCTTTTGGCTTTCTCAGTAGATGCTGGGGTGATTGGAAAGGAGATTCAGCTAAGATCTCTCTCTTCTGTCTCTGCATTGAGGATCCATCACAAGAAGTCCTCACTTGGGTCCCAGTGCCATTTACCTGGAAGACTTCTCTGAGCTGGACAAGAAGCCAGTGGCTCCCTATTTGGCCGGGAGGTATGAGTTGCCCCAGGTGGCCAAGCTCAGACATTTTTGAGCAATTCCCCTGGCACAAAGGATGGAGGTATGTTTAAAGCTATTCTCTGATGTCACCACCATTTCTTCCCTTGCTGGCAGTGACACAGAGCAGAGTTTGAGGCCTGTGACAGACCCCAGCAGCCCTGTGTGTATCCAGCTGCCATCCACCTTGCCTGCCAACAGCCCCATGGACTCTGACTCGATGCCCACAGTTGCCCTGTCACTGTGCGGGGGCCTCAGGGGCAACAGGCCAATCTCTCATGGTAGGCAGGAGGAGACGGGCAATCTGCAGCCCTGAAATGCTTTCTGTCCTCCAATGGCATGACACAGCCTTTGTCCCACCAGAGAAGTTCATGGAACACATGGTTTCCTACCAGCAGTTTGCTGAGAATCCAAGGCTCATCAGTGACCCAAACCTGGTGATAATGATCAACCAGAAGTGAGTGGCCTGCTCTTCCTGCTGCTTCATCCCACAAAGGACAGCATGTCCCCTTTGTCCCTGTGGAAGCTCTCCTGTAGGAATGTGACTCCATCCCAGAGCATGATTGTACCAAAGTAGTTGTGGGACCTGGCCATGCTGCAGGATGGTCATGTACTCATCCCTCTTGCTTTTTGCAGGTATTACAACTGGGCAGTGGCTGGTCCCATAGTCCTGGCCCTGCAGGCTTTCCAGAGGAACATTCCTGAGGTCAGTGGTATCATCATTTACTGGCTATAATTCTCAGCAGGGCCTGGGGTGAGGACTGACCTGTTCTGCCATGTTCACAGAGCATCATTGACCAATTGGTAAAGGAGAAGATGCCCAAGAAAGAGAGGAGATATTGGTTGTCCTGGAGGAGGAGAGAATTCCCAACAGAGGGGGTATGTTTGCAGCAGTGGATGTAACAACCATGTCCCCAGGGGACAGGCATCATTCTGCTGGCTGGCAGGGGTGGCAGCAGGGTCCTGGGGACGGCCTGAGGTTGACTATGAGGACCTCCAGGACCTGACAAGGTGACTTCTTAAGGTTGCTATTTGTCCCCTTTGGTCTCTTAATGCCTGAGCAGCAGAGCAGCACCTGGTAATGCAGTAATGTGGACCTTGTAGTGGTGAGACCTCCTGCTATGTGCCCATCATGCTAAGTCCCTGGGCGCCACATGTGCTTGCTGGTCTCTCTGCCCCACCACAGCACCAGGCTGTGCTTCCCCTTCCACCAGAGTGTCCCTGTGAAGGCAGGGACTGCAGCCATACCTCTTTTGGCATTTCTGTTTCAACTGGAAGAAAAGCAAAGCAGCCCCTGCTCTTGCTCTTAAGCTCTGTGCAAGCCCTGCTCAGCAATAATAGAAACATCTCTGTTACCAACACTGTGTTGAGCCCACAGCTCAACACAGTGTTGATAACATTGTGAAAATCTAGAACACAGCTCCATGTCAGTCGCTGAAGAACCAGAACACCCCTCCCTGCCTGCAGCAGCAGCCAAGGCCAAGGAAAGCCAGCGTGGGAACACTGTGGTGTGACCCTGCTCAGCAGAGGTGAGTGCCTCCCTCCCAGGCCATCTTCTGGAGTCTGGATACTCCTGTTCTCCTATGTGACTAATTATTCCTAGGTTTGCCTAATAAAAGAGGGTAGAAAGTTTTTTTAGGACTCTGGCTGACCCCTTCCCTTTTTTGTGTAGGTGGGAGGAAATGGAGTCACCCAGTGACAATGAGCCCCAGCACCCTGGGGACATATCCACAGTGGAAGCTGCCACTCACAATCCCCTGCCAACCTTCAAGAAATCCCTGCGGCTCTCCTCCAAACAAATTGTATGTATTTATTCCTCCATCTTCACTGTCCATGTGTGTAGGGGTGAGACAACAGGGATTTCTCTACTCCTGACCTCATGTTTTCATAGACATCCAAATATTTTGCCCTTGTTGACCACCCTGTAGAGTCTTGAGATCTCTGGCCTGGCTGGGTGTCAGTTTGGCCTCTGGCAAGCCTTGGAGGGGTGTGAATTGGTGCTGGTGTAACACTTTTGGTGCCCCTCTGCCCCAGGGAAGGTTGAATCTGCAGGATGGCCCCAACGAGGTGGCATTCAGCGTGACGACTCAGTACCAGGGTACGTGCCGCTGTGAGGCCACCATCTACCTGTGGAACTGGAACGAAAAAGTGGTGATCTCAGACATCGATGGCACCATCACCAAGTAAAAGGCCTTTCTCCCACCCCAAAATCCTTGTTTTCCCCTGTTAGGGGGAAGTCTCCTTTAAAGGCTTGCATAAGAAGGGAGAAGGGAGCACAAACCTGACTGGGGTGGGGGTGGATTCTCACCATGTTGGATGACACTAACCCGGCCTCCTTTCCTTTGAGATCGGATACTCTCGGACATATCTTGCCACAGCTGGGTAAAGATTGGACTCACCCTGGGATTGTTAAACTCTTCCACAAAATCCACCTGTAGGTATTGGATCAGCTGAGTTCAAGGGAAGTGGGAAGCTGATTTGAGTCAGAGTCAGGGCTTCTTACTCACTGATGCAGGCCCAGATAGCTGCATTATCTGTTCTCAGTGGTGGCTGATGCTGGCTGTGCTGTCTGTGTGATGCTGAGGGGTGAAAGTAGAGGGTCCTCTGGGAGCAGATGCTGGCATTACCTTCCCTGGAAGGAGTGTGTGTCAGTGGAGGCTTTGCTGGGAAGATATAGCTGAGCAGCAGAGGAGACAAGACCACCTAAAGTCATACCTGCGAGAGGTGGCACGGGGTGTCTCCAACACTGCGGTGCTGGTACCTCTCTGGGCACCCAGCGATCGCTTCCCACAACCCAGGGGACTCACCTGCGAGGGGTGACACCAGCAGTGGGTCCCTGCGGAGCCCCTAGCTTGGTGCCTGACTCCTGTGGCCACTGAGAGGCACTGTGGGCCCGTGGATGGCTCGTTCTGGCCCCGGAGCAACGTGGGAGGAGGGATGCACTCCCGGGGCTTGCAGGGACTCACTGACATCTCTGCTGCCTCTGGCCACCCGGTACCACCTCTGCCGAGCTGTCCCCTGCCCGGGCGTCTGCAAGGGCTGGGTACAGCCCTCCACGATTGACAGGCAGTGCTGTGGCATAGAAGTGCTGTGTGAGGGTGCTGAGCAGCAATGGGGGCCGTGCTGCTGGGCTGGGTGGCTGTGTGGCTGCTGGGACGAGCATGGAGGGTGGTGCAGGGGCTCCCAGTGTGAGGCAGGTGGGGATTGGGGTTAGTCTGGGTTTCCAGATAAGGGATTAATGTTCTTTGTGGAGCCACCTTGCTTACTGGAATAAGATTGGGTCTTAGGCCAGGTACTTGGCTACCTCTTCCTCCTTAGAGCAGGAGAATGCCTTGCCCAGGCCACAACTCAGAGAGGCTCCCTGTATTCTCTCTAGGAATGGCTATAAATTCCTCTACTGCTCAGCCAGGGCTATTGGCATGGCCCACATCACCAAAGGCTACCTCAAATGGGTCAATGAGCAAGGCTGTGGCCTCCCCATGGGCCCCATGCTGCTGTCCCCCAGTAGCCTCTGGTCTGCCTTCCACAGGTACTGTCTTTTCCTGCACTTCATATACCCCTGGGGACAGCACCCCTTTCCCCAGCCCTAAACTGCTCTGCCCTCCTTGGTGCACAATGTCTCTCATGGGAGGCAGTAGGGGAGCTGCCTGACCTCGCTGGAGCTTCACAGTGAAGCTTCTGATGCACAAAACCTTCTACCCTTCAAATCACTTCCCTGAGCACCAGACAGGTTTGGTGCCACACTCTTGGCCAGCTGATACCACTGTAACCATGTCTCTTGTGCTGCAGGGAAGTGATTGAGAAGAAGCCAGAGGTGTTCAAGGTCACCTGCCTGACAGACATCCGAAAACTGTTTACTACAAAGTGTCCCTTCTACGCGGGCTTTGGGAACAGGCCCAATGTGAGTGGTCTCCAGGTGTGCAGGGAGGGCTCAGGCTGGGTGTGGTGCTTTCCTGCAGCTCTCATGCTATGCTGGCCTTCCTTGGGCAGGATGTCTACACTTACAAGCAAGTGGGGCTGCCAGAGAGCCGCATATTCACAGTAAACCCCAAGGGAGAGCTGATCCAGGAGCTCTCAAAGAACCAAAAGTCAACGTAAGCAAAGTGTTCGTTCCTCTGCATCTTTGGGATGACCTGGCTTTGATGCAGAGAAGCATCAAACAGACACTCAATGACCCCAATGTAACTTCTTTCTTACCCACACAGGTATGAGCAGCTGTCGGAGCTGGTGGAGGTCTTCTTCCCTCCTGTGGGACAGAGACACTGCTCTGGTGTCCCCACAGTACAGCCACTTTGCCTCCAGGAGACCTCCACGGCCTGATGCTGACTTGGATGGCTTGCCCTAACCCCATCCTTGTGGAGAACTGACCCAGAGCTCTCCTGCATGTTCTTTGCCAGGACTAACTGCTCCAGGTGCACCTTGTCCTCCCTGTTTGCTGCTTGGGTATTTTGCACTTGTAATAGAGGCCATGACACCCCTTAGCAGGAAGCCAAAGGGAGTAAGAGGGAGTTCTGACTCTACAAAAACTCCATTTGCTAAACACAAATTCCTGAAAGTTGGGTCTCTTCTGGTGTTTGTAGCTCCTCTAAAGTCTGGCTCTTTTAAAATGTGCTGGTTGTTCACTGTTGTATTTATTGATGAACCTCTGACATAGCTATTACTACCTCTGGTATGACCAGTGTTCCAGACAGTCCAGCTACCTGCAGTTTGGCAGCTGAAACTGCCCACCAACTTGTAAAGGCCGATGGAAGATGCTGGGCTTTTGAGTGTTGTTGTGGTGTGTTTTGTTTTAGAGTTCAGGATTGCCCCCTATTCTCTTCCCTAATCTCCTTCCCTCCCCAGCTGTCAATCTTCCCAAGCTCTTCCCTAACCTTCTCCCCTCCAAGTTGCCAATCCTCCCTTTCCCTGCCCCTTTCCCTAGAACATTCCCTGTCACTCCTTCTAGTCCCCTCCCCTTCTTCCAGAGTGTTCCCTGTCCATTTAGCTACACTCGACACCCTATTTGTCACTTTGTGTTACTCCACTCCCCCATTTCCCATTTCCATTATGATATGTTAGTGCCGCCTTAAGACCCCTCCCCAGTTCTACCCTCATTGGTTATTGTTCCTACACCCGGCTCCCGAGTTTCTGTATAAAACCTTCTGTTTGCCCTCCCAAGCTGGTCTTGGGGCTCCATTTTCTCCACCCAATAAACCCATTGTGGAACACCCTAAGCTGCGAGTTGTCGTTATCTATCCCTGTGCTGGACCAGCCCATAACTGGGAATTGCAGAGCTCGCAGGGGGACGGTCACACCCCTGCTGCAGCCGCCCTGCATGACAGCATGCTGCAACAGAGTTCTTAACAAAAACCAATAGTAAATAGTGCCTTAAGCCAGGCTGCCTCTTGTCTGCTCTAGCCATGTGCATAGAAGTGGGAGCCAGGATCCAAGTCCTTTCTTAAATGTTATTAGGCTTATTCTGCTCAAGCATCCTACCAAGTGGGTCTTGGGGGTCATGGGATCAGCTTCTAGAAAATGGCTCTTTTTCCTTTTTTTTTTTTTTTTTTTTATTACTACATTTAGCTAAGGTAGCAAAATTAATTTAAAACAGAAAACAAATGCAGGTTTATTCTGTGCGTACATGGGGCTGAATGGACAGAAGACCTTCCAAAAGCCAGAGATCCGTGTGCTGAGGCTCACTCCAGGCTGTCTCCTGCCCCTCGGGGTGCCCAGGAGCAGGGGGTGCCTGCAGCCCAGCACAGCCTCAGTAGCACCAGGGACACGCAGGGAATAGCCTTGGATGAGGCTCTGCAATTCCACACAGGCTCAGCCCTGCTCCCCATGGGATCCCCGCTGGGATTTGCCTCTCTGTTTACCATGCATGTTCAAAGCAACTGCAAGGAGAGTTTTGTCTCTATGGGACACATGACAGCACAACGCGAGCCACCTGCTATTTGCAAGGTAAAGAAGAAGGTTTATTTTCTGAGTCCAGCTTTTATACTTTTCCAAAGGTGACAGTGGAATGGGCCACCTCTCCAAAGACATTGGACAAACCATCAAGTTTCTCCACCCCCATGAAGGAATGCAAAACAATATGTTGTTTATAGAAATTGTGTGGCAAAGTTTTCTAACAGAATGTAAACTCAGAAGGCTTTAGAAAATCTTAAGAATCAGGGCGACAGAGTGTGACCTGTCACTGGGACCCTTTTGTGCACAAATTGCCCCAGCATGGCCATGCCAGCAGCCCCAGGGACCTCCAGCCCCAGGCACCCACAACCCTGCAAATGCTCCCTGTGCCCAAAGCAAAGGCAAATAGAGCTGGGCTGTGAAAAATAAAGATTGTTTAGTTACAGAAGAGCAACAACGAAAACAAACTACATAATGTATTTTCAATGTAAGGATCTTTATAACTACAACCTATTAAAAGTATTTACATTACAAAAAAGTATATAACAATGTAAGAAATTTATGTACAGAAGAGAATAACAAACTCTAAAGCGTATTTATAGATGAAAACTTAACATAAAACTCTAAAACATATATCCAGAAGGATGGCATCCCTGCCTGGCACCTCCATCAGTCCTGGAAGAAAAGCAAGCGACACGGTCACTCCAGTCAGGCACAGAGGGCTGTTCCCTGTGCCCCCAGGCTGGGACACGCTGGCAGAGCAGGACTGCTGCCAGCACTGAGCCTGGCAGGGACACAGGCAGAGCAGGACTCTGCTGCCAACACTGAGCCTGGCAGGGGCTGAGGGCAAGGCCCCAGGCAGTGGCACCCAAAGCATGGCCCAAAGTGAGCGCAGGGCAGGCTGGGGTGGTGCTTATGCCACCAGAACCCAGGGCCCCCAGGCACCGTGTCCCTGAGCGGGGCCACTCAGCCCAGCCCCAGCCTGGCAGCAGGGGACCCACCCTGCCTCTGGGCAGGGCACGGCCAGCTCCTGCCTGTCCTGCTGCTGGGCTTGGTCTTCATCCCAAGACCATGTCCTCCTCCTCACCTTCATCCACTTCCATGTCTTCAACATAATCCTCCATCTCCTCTTCCACATCCACCTCCATTTCTTCATCTCCATTCTCTTCAACATCTATAACCATACTCTCTTCTCTATCAACCTTATCTATCTTCTCTATCAATCTTCACATCGATTTCCATCTCCTCCTCAGTGTCTGTGACAGCCTGCACAGGGAGCAAATCCAGTGGGGTCCCTGTCCCACACCAACCCCACAAGAGCTCCAGCCCACCCAAAGCAGTTTGGAGGTTTCCACCTCCATGGAACGGCACTGTACCTTCATTGGGACAAAAGTGAGCATCCTGCAGGGATGGATGGCAAGATCCATGCAGCAGGGCGATATCTGGACTCAGCCAAGTGTTACCCAGCTGCACTTTAATCAGGGTGGGGTGGTTACCGGGCCAATCATTTTCTTGTCTGGGAGACTCTTGCTGTGTTCCATCATGACTCACAGGAGCTCCAGGACCACTCAGCTTTGGGCAATGGCGGCTGTTGAGTAAGGGAATCCTGTCATGATTTTGCTTGGAAAGGACCCTAGAGACCCTAAAGTTCATCTTGTCCAACCTGAGCAACCTCTCTTCAGACCAGGTGGCTCAGAGCCTCATCCAGCCTGGCCTTGGACATTCTCAGGGCTGGGGCATCCACAGCCTCTGTGCACAGCCTGGGCCTGTGCTTCACCACCCTTAGTAAAATGCCAGTTTTCTTAGATACAGCCTAAATTGACCTCCTGCAGTTGAAAGCCATGTCCCGCTTCTCGTCCCACCACAGACCCTGTTGAACACTGTCCCCATCTTTCCTATGGGACCCTTCAAGTCCTGCATGGTTGCCGTGAGGCCTCCCCATGGCCCTCTCTTCTCCAGCCTGAGGATCCCAACTCTCTCTTCATGGGAGGTTATAAAGTAAAACAAAGGCAGAAGCACTACTGGGCTCCTTCCTCCAGTCTGCCATCTACCTTCTCCTTCCCTGACCCCTGTGTGTAACTCATCTCCTTGTCTGCCACTTCTGGAAGCCACACAAGTAATTTTGACCCTGGAAACCTCAGCAAGAAATACTTTATTTTTTTCCTTTCCAGTACAAACAGTTTTTCAGCTTTTAAAATCTGAACAAATAGACATGATTTTAAAAACAACAGAACACAGTCTTTTAACAGGATCAGTTATCAACTGCCTCAGGAAGCTGCCCATGCAAGGACAATCCCATGGCCAGCAATTCCTTACTCTGCAAGCAATTTTTAAAAAATGCCCATTTTTTTACAAAGTTCCTTTCACTTTTGAAACATGAATAGCTGAGAACTGAAAATAACAAACTGTCCATAGCTTCAAGTGACTAGTCAGGAATAGTCCAAATATAGCACCATTTTCCAGAAGGTCAGACTTCTTCCTTGTCCTAGTTCTGTTATGGCCAGTCCTGGCTCCCTCTTTTCTGGGGAAGTTGTTCCTGTTCAGCCACTCTAATCCAGCCCTGGCTGGGGAACAGGGAGCCTGGCCCTTGGCTTGGTTTCCTCTTTGGTTTTCTCCTTGGTGTGAGGGGATGGAAAAGGGGCTTAGGCAGGATGCTCCTCCTGCACAAAGCACTCAGGGTTGGCTTGAGACTCCTTCCTTAGGCTGGAGGAAAAGAATAGGTTTTGTTGTCAAAGGGCAGGTTTTGCAGGATGCCCAATGGCAGCAGGAGGTTGTTCCTCAGCTGGAGAAGTGTCTCAGCAGCTGGAGGGTAGCTCCAAATCAGCAAAGCCCAGAGCAGTGAGAGTGAATTCTGGTGCTGTGAGCTGGCAGGGCTGGGCAAGTGATGGGGGGGCCATGTGTCCTCTTTATGCTCCCACAGATCATGCTCCTCTGGAAGGGGACTGAGCTTTTACTGCCTCAGGGGAACATGGTGTGGCTACAGGGCTCAGTGATCCCTGTGGTACTCCCTAGCTTCCCTAGAAGCATGTTTAAGGGAGCTCACCCAGATTTTCTGGGAGAGAAGAAGTGCCCAGATGTGTAACACCTTCTGTGCAGCCACTGGGTGTCAAGGTGCCAGCTCGCAATTCCCCGGTGTGGCCAGTGAGGGTTAGGAGAGTGGCTGCCCCTGGTCTGCACTGGGATTACCAGAGGGCAGTGTGTACAGCGGTGTGGGCTACGAGGAGCCAAGGTAAAGGGATAAAGGAGAAGACACTTGTGTGAAGTCTGTGGAGACTTCATTCCAGCGACAAGGCAGGGACAAGTGCCAAGGAAAATGGGATCTGGCTACAATTTGTGAAGGGGTGGCAACATGGGATACCAATGGAGACAGATTACAGGAGAATCACATCATGGATTTACAACCATTGGGGAAAAGACAGAAGAGGGGAGAAGCCTCGGGGACCAGCCAGCTATGACAACATGGGTGACTGACAGGGAACCTTCCAGAACCAAATGGGGGTGGCTACAGTGACAGACGGGGAGGTGGGCAGCACAACCTGGATTGACACATCTATTTAAGGGTAAGAGGGGAGGAACAGGGAGATTGGCACTCTGAGGGACAGCCGAGCGGTGGGAAAACTTAGGAGTGAACAACCTGGGAAAAACCATTGTGAGGGGAAGGAATGGGGGGCACAAGGAACAATACCAACCAAAACTTGCTAGCATTAAACTCCTAATGCATATAATAAAACTTTGTGAAATCCTACAAAACACACACCACCACACAGAAGCATCTCTGCTGGGAGCTGCTGCTGGTTTGTGCTAGTCAGAGCACAGAGCTGCTCCTTTATGCGATCATGGGGGATAAAGGAGGGAATCATGGTGCAGAAGAACAGGGACAGCCTGGTGAGGGTGACAGGCACTGTGTGAGAGCCAAAGGCTGGCTGGTGTGGAAGGCTTCATGAGCTACAATTCTGAGAGAAAAGTATGCTCCTCTGCTATAAAGTGCCAGAGTTGCTTGGATGGAGGCTCTTTAATTTCCTCCTCATCCCAGTAATGAAGTCCCCATTGGCTGATCAGCGGAGGGTGCCCACGGTGGGCTCCTGGGGAGAGGTGGATTCTGTGTGCAACAGCTCTGTAGGGCAAGGCTGGAGCTGTTCGGGAACACAGACAATGTTTTCCAGCCTGTTTATTTGTAGGAAACCAGAGTAAATCAACCTGGGTAAATTATGTGAGTTTTTCATTCTGAGCTGAGGACAGGTCTCCAGAGGTGTTCTCACAGATGCCCTGCCTTGTTCCACATTGGTATTGGTCCCAGGGCTGCTGGCATCCTGGTGGGATCAGAAGAGCATGATGAGGACACAGGCTCCTGCTCCTCCACTGCTGCACTCCCAGCCTGGAGCAGCTGTAACTCCCCTGCCTGGGATGAGATGATGGAGTTCACAGCTTAAGCAATTGAACAGGAGAGAGCCAGAGCTGCAGGACAGGACTGCTCTGTGCCCAGCTTGATCTCTGCAGAGACCTATGGACACAGCTCTCCTCAGGGAAGACACGTGTTTTCCATAACCATCATGTCAGCCCCGGGTGTAACCAGAGCCCAGCAAAGTGGGATTGCAAAGCACAGCAGCCCCCAGAACCATGGGGCTCTCTCCAAACACTGCTGCCACAGCTTTTGGCTGCTCAGTGTGGGTCTTTGGAATATGGCAAAGGACATGGGGGCAGCATTAGGAAACTGGAAGCAGATAGGCACTATGACACAGGATTGTTCAAAAATATACATACACATACCATATATATATATGCATATGTGTTTTCCTAATGCAAACCCTCATATGCTCCATAAGGCATATGCATCTACATGGAGGAGGGAGCATTATAAATGGATTTACCATACACAAGGAGGGCTGCCATCTCGGAGAAGGGAAGCCAGTTCCCGGAGGGACGTGTGAATACGTGTGTTCTTTGAAATCAACAATTCCTGTGGTGAGTTTTGTTCCCTGCAAGGAGCCCTGGCTCTACTCAGTCTCTGGATTAAGATGCAGGTGGTCTTTAGCTCAGAGAAACTATTCCTCAGCTGATAACTAAAGGGTTTTATTCTTCAAGAAATGATAAATCCACAAAAATAAAATGAAAAAAAAAAAAAGTTTCTGCCTCCAGCTTACTCTTGAATTGTCCTTCTTGGGTCATCAGCCCAGGACCCAAAGAAATACCCCCAGCCAGGAAGGAGTGACACTGCTGCGCCAGGGTGAGGACAGTTGCTGAGCATCAGGAGGGGAGCACCAGCATGGTGGAGTTAAGGAGAAGTGGGACCAACAAGATTAGGGGGGAAAAAATGTAGCAGCTTTTCATAAAAAAATTATCCCAAGAACTGTTGTCACATTGGAGCGAGTCTGTGTGATATAATTTAATCCTGTCCTTCACAGCAGGAGAAGGAAGACACGTGGCATGGCAGTGTGGCTAATGCTGCCTCCTCTCCGCCTTCTCCTCCAAGTGCCCGACCTGTTCCGCCAGCTCAGAGACCTTGGCTTGGCAGTCAAGCAAGTTGTCCTTCAGTCCCGTTATTTCCTGAGAGTGGGCAGCCAGCGTCCCGTTCATGTGGTCCATGTATTCCCACAGACTGCCCGTGTGTTTCTCCAGTTCCTCCCTGATGTCGTCCAGGCTGCCGGTGATGGCCCCCAGCCTGCCGCAGGCGCTCTCCACCCGCGCCACCCGCTCGTCAAAGTGAGAGACCTCCTGCTGCAGGCCGCGGGCCACGTTCTTGCAGGAGCTCAGGTCGCTGACAATCCTGGCTTTGAGTCGCTCCAGGTCTCCCTTGAGGTTCAGGACACGGCGGTTGCTGAAGAAAAGCTGGGAACCTTGGTCGTTGACTTTCTCCTGGATGGAGTGGACCTCATCCTCAATCTTCCGCTCGTGCTCATCTAGTGAGGAGTTGACATGTGTTACGGTGTCTGAGTACTGGGAGACGGAGTTCTTGAGCCCCGTCAGAGACTTGCTCACAGTGTTCAGGTTGATCTTTAGCAAGGTGATCTCCCCTTGCAAAGCTCCCGATGCTTCCTCCTCGATTCGCCGCTGGATCTCCAGGATGGTGGCGTTCAGCTTGCGCAGGAGGTCATAATTGCTGTCCATCCGGAGGAGCAGGTCCTGGTTCTTGTTCTGGCAGTCCTCGATCTCCGTCCGAAAGGTCTCCACATCTTTGGAGGCAGAGGTGCAGCCCAGGGAGCAGGTGCTCTCCAGCGTGATGAGGCGATTCTGCAACACCTCCAGTGCCTCATCTGTCCGTTTCCTCATGCTGGCAAGCTCCCCTTCCAGCACAGGCACCACTGCTCCGTCCATGCCCATGGGAGAACTGACATTGTTCAGCTCCCCCACGATGGTCATGAACCTGTCCTCCAGGGTCTGCATTTTGTCTTCAAAGGCAGTCCTCATGCCATCCACCTCTGCCACCACTGTGTCTTTCATGCTGTCCTCTATACCAGAGCAGCAGCTCCCAGTTTCCCTCTCTGTAGCATTGAGCCTGGCTTCCAGATCCTCAAAGCGCCCTTCAAAGAGGTTCCCTAGGGTGACAGTGGAGATTTCTCCATCCAGGCGTGAGTGCAGATTCTTCTGGGACTCGGAGATGCTGTGAAGGCCTTTCTCGAGGATGTTCATTCGATCGGTGAGGTAGTCCAGGTTGCTGCAGCAGCTCTCCACTACCGTCAGCCCTTGGATTTGGGTCTCCAGCTGAGAGATCTCTTTCTTGATCTCCAGCTCCTTCCCATCCAGCGTCTGCTGCAGCCGCAGGTTGGCAGCTTTCTCCTCCTCGCACTGCTGCCGCACCTCTTGGATGCGGAAATCACACGTGGTCTGGATCTTGCCCAGCTTCTTCTCAAAGCCATCGAGCAGCTCTCCACGCAGGTTGCTCAGCCTCGTGTCCACATACTCCTCCAGCAGGTCGATGGACGTGAGGGGCGAGGGCCGGGCGGATTCCAGCAGGTGCTTGATCTGCCCGTCGTGGTCCAGGACCATGCCCTGGACCTCGTGCAGTAGGTCTGCCTTGGTTTTCAGCACGTCGCTCACCTCGGTCACTTTGGTCAGGATCTCCCCTACGGGAGGGTACGTGGCGACGTCGGCTTTGTCTGCCACATCCACCAGCCCGTCGGGAATGATGCCGAAGCCCACGGATGAGTCTGGCGTGCCCGGGCTGTTCATCAGGGAGCCGATCATCTTGGTGGTGTCCTCCTGGATGGCCAACCTCAGGCGGTCCCCCAGCCCGCTCACCATGGTGTGCAGGCTGTCGTAGGACTGGGAAAGGCGCCTCACCTCCTCTTCCAGCCGATCCAGGCGGTCCCCGAAGAGGCCGGGCAGCTTCCTGCCTGCACAGGGAAAGAAATAGAGAGGGCACAGTGAGGGCTGTGGTGCTCCTGTAACTTCCCTCCTTCTAGTCCTTTCCCATAATAACTTTGTGTCCTGCCCTCTGTTATTGTCATTTCAGCAAAATCTCAGCCCACATCTCTCCTAAAGCCATCATTCCTGATACCCTCTTTCCTCTTGGGATCCAGCCCTCTGTCCCAAGTTCAACAACAGGTGATGATAACAGCCCAGGAGAGCTTCATCTTGAGATGCACCCTATCAGCCCCATAATTAATGGGAAAATGCTCTAAATCAATGAGGAAAGGCAATTTTGAAGCTGCATGTTTTAAAAGAAACAAAATTTTAAAAGCAAATGGTTCTCAAAGCAATCAAATGTCAGGTCTCTGATAGAAAACATGAAACCCACTGAATTTTTTCCAGATTCATGCTCTGCTCTGGAACAGAGAGAACCTGGAGGTTTGAGTGCATGACAGTGGTGTGGTGACCTGGGGACATGAAGCAGGAACAAGATCTCACCATATTGATTCTTCTTTGGTCCTGGAAACAAGTCGGGGTGGCTTTTGGGATAGGGAGGAAGTCTGGGCATTGGAAACATCTTCTGCCCAGGGGGTATTTTAGGGCTGGGATGCTGGGGCAGAAGGCCAGGCTGGTCTGTTGGGCTGTCATGGCACCCTTCTCCCATGAAGCCTGGGCAGCACCTCCAGGACAGCTCGGTCACTGTCTTGTACCCAATCTTGTATTTGGGCCTGAAGAAGGTGCGGTACCTTGCCAGGAGAGAGAAAACAGTTTAGAGAAGCAACCTCAACATCAAGCAGTAGAGCAGGGTCAATAGAGCAGGGTCACGGTCCTGTTGGATGTGGGAGATCTGGGCACATGGGGAAGCCTGGCTGAAACCCTTGTGCTGCACCTGCAGACCATGGCCCATCTTCTCCAAGAGCTCTTGCTGCACCACAGCTCAGTGCAGCATTACAGTGGGGTTCTGGTCGAGTATTTTTTAACCTGGGGCACTGTGTTGATTTAGAACTGCAGCTCTAATGTATTGCTGCAGTCCCTGGCCTCAGAGGTGACCACTGTGACAGATGCCACACTGTTTGGCAACTTCTGGCCAGCAGAGCACAAGATGAAATGATGGAACTGATTTCAAAAGCCCTGCAAGCTCACATCGCTTCCAAGAGGGAAGTGGACTGCTTGTAAAAGTGGCTTGCACTTTGAATTGACCTACAGAATTTCCTAGTGGGATTAAAAAAATCCTGTTCTTAACTGTAATCCTGTCTGGAAGCCATGAGGGCTGAAATACCTTTGGAAAGGTGTTTTCTCTCTGTGTGGAGGGCATCAGTTTGCTGGGAAGCCTAAAGGGGCTTAGGCTGGCCTGGTGAGGGTGTCCAGGGTGATGCTGTGAAGTGCACGGAGAAATGGCTCCTTACACTGCCTCCTGCCCCAGCTGGGATGCCCTGGGAAGTGTCTCCATCACGAATTTGGGTGCTACAGCATTGGTCCTTCCCTACCCAGCACACAGGGTGCAGGCCCACCTCACACCTTCTCCCTCTGCTCTTGCTCTGGATGGGGTCCCACCAGCCGTGGGGGAGGATTCAGCTGCTCCCTGCTTTCCTGTGAGGCAGCAGTGATGGAACAGGGCCCTGCTGGCCCCTGTGCTCCCCCACCAGCTGAGCTGAGCTGTATAGGGCTGAACATGGCACTTTTCTCACCACCCCTAAATACCAAAGCTTTAAGCCTGCCTTTTGGAAATTTCCAATCTGAATTTACCAGGGCCTGAAAATCTTGAAGGTTGCTGTTTTGCAACAACACACATCATCAGCCTCTTGTTCTTCTCCAGCATGTTCAGCAGAAGGTCTTGGAGGAGCAGCACAGCCATTGGTGCTGCAGAGGGGCTGCAGAAGGCACTAATCCATCAGTCAGGGCAGCACATGGGGTGATTCCCTGCCACCCACGTCCTTGTCCGAATCCACAGTGTCCCCAGGCTGCAGCCCCTGGCAGTGCTGCTTCCACACAGTTCCCAGTGAGATACAGCCACCTCCATACACACCACAGGGCAGGGGGATGAACCAAACCCAAGGCCTCTGCTCTTTGAATCTCTTCAAAATTTCCCAACATCAATTTCCCAAAGGGACAGTTTCAAAACAAGCTCTTCTTGTTAGTCCTCTTCACAGATGCTGCTGGGTTTCAATGATCTTTCCTTCTGTTGTAGTGTGTAGAAACCTGCCTGGATGTACCATGGGAGATTGCTGCTCCAGCCACTGTCAGGGGGTGAAGAAAGGAGGAGGGTGGCATCCACAAGGCAGAACACCTTCTCTGTGTCATCCCAGCACCTTCTCTGTGTCATCCCAGCACCTTCTCTGTGTCATCCCAGCCTCTGCAGAGGAGCTCAAAGCCTTGGCCACCTCCAAATCTTTCAACCCCTGCTCCAAACAGCAGCAAGGGGAAGTACTTGCAGCCAGCTGCACAAACATTCGCTGATGGCCCTGGCACATAGAAAATTCATGTTCCATTTTGTCCATGGATGCAGCATCTGAGGCTCTGCAGAATATTCAGCTGTGGGTCCATCTGCTCTCAGAAAACACTCTGGTTTCACACTGCTTTTGTTTGAAGGAGTCAAACAGGACATCGTGGAGATGGGAAAGGCTTTGGAGATCTCCTCCATGGGTACCAGCAGCTGCAGGATGTCCTGACGTCCCCAAATGCTGCTAAAACACTTGTGATGGGAAGAACAAGTGAGCGAGTGGGTCCGGCTGCCCGTCTCTGCCAGGAGAGGATGTGAGCAGAGCCCGTGCCACCACTGGCACATGGAGAGTCAGCCAGCTGCCACAGGATGGGGGCTAAGCTCTGACAAAAACTTCTCTCATCCCAGTTTTCCTCTGTGCTCAGCTCTGCTCCACTCCTCCAGCCTGGGGAGGATGCAGGAGAACAGCTTTTCCACATGGAGCAGCATCCCTGGAGGGTGGTGAGGCACAAAGCCCTAGTGCCACCGGCGGCTCCAGCTGTGGCACAACAAAGTGTTTCCCTCCAGCACTGACGAGGTGGCAGAGTTTTGCAAGTATTTTCCTGGAGCAGGAAGCACTGAGCCATCCCCAGCCACAGGCTCCAGTTCCTTGTCCTCCCAGCCAGGTTCTCACTGAGCTGCCATCATTCTGCCACATTGCAGGTCCATGACAAACTGCCTTCCTACACACCTGCACAGGCACCTCCCCACTTCCCATGATTTCCAGATTTGTTTCTGAATCCTTGAATATCCTGAGTTTGAAGGGACCCATAAGGATAATTGTGCCCAGCAACTGCACAGAACACCCCCAAAAATCACGCCATGTGCCTGAAAACATTGTCCCAATGCTTCTTCAGCTCTGTCAGGCTTGGTGTCATGATCAACTTCCCTGGGGAGCCTTTTCCAGTGTTCACCTGGGTGAAAACCTTCTCCTGATATCCAATCTAAACCTCCCCTGACAGTTTCTGAGGAGGGATAGAACTCCCTCTCCCTCCTGACAGATCCCACCTCGCCTCCTCCCAACACCACTGCCCTGCCACTGACTGCCATGTCCAGGAAAAGTCCTTCAGCCCCTTTCACTGCCCTCTGGAAAGTGGGGGCTCGTGGTCAGAAAGGTGGCACAGGAGATAAAGGTCTTTGGGAGGGGAAGGGAGCCATGGCCCAGTGTCCCCCATACTCACAGCACTTTCCCTGGGCACTTGGGTCCCCAGCTGCACTTGTGGTACTCAGCCTTGACGTAGCTCTCGGCCCCGTCCTGCAGCGTGCACGTCACGTTGCGCTGCACCACGTAGGCACAGTAGCTCCTGGGGGAAACACAGCGAGGCACTGTCACCCCCTGCCCAGCAGACAGCAGTGCCTGCACTGCCCAACACTGCCAGTGAGGTGTGGGACAGGAGCTGGAAGGAGCCCCCCAGGAGCTGGAAGGAGCCCCCCAGCTTGGGCAGCTGCTAGGGAGGGGCACCACAATCATGCTGCAGGAATGGGGTTCCTGTCACAGTCACAGCCACAGCCACGTTGTCACCAGTGCTGCTGGTGTCCCCAGAGCTGGGCTGTGCTTGGCACAGCATGGACTGTGTGGTGAGACAGGACAACCAGAATGCCAGCAGCAGCAGTTGCAGGAATAGCATCCCAGAAATAGCTCCAGCAGTGCCTGGCAGGGGTGGTCTGTCCTGCTGCAGCTCCTGGAGTGCTGCCAGTGCAGGGCCCAACACAAAAGCCTTCAGCCCTTGCTGTGGGTGCTGCCACAGACAAGGCACAGAGAGGAGATGCTGCTCCGTAGGGCTGCAGCACCATGGGTCCCTCCATCAGGGAGTCAGGGACACGGAGCAGATCTGTGGTGGAGGCTGGAAACCCCCTCAGAGCTCCAGGACAGTGAGTACAGAGAGCCTCTTCCCTCCTCCAGCTGCCTGCAGCTGGGTGCCACAGGTACCAGTCAGCTTTCCTGAGCCAAGCAGCGAAGCCAGGCGCTGAGGATGGGCTGGCAGGGAGGAAGGCAGCGTGTGGGAAGGATGTAGGACTGCTGGTAGGACAGATGGAGGCCAAGGCTGCTCCAGCTGAAGGCAGGGCTGCCGGCAGGAGCAGATGGACTGGGTCCACAGGGGCAGAGACAGCAGGGATGTGTGGTGAGGCAGGGATTAAGGGCAGGGGGAGGTGGCAGACGGCAGAGCGGGAGGAGAGGAGGGCACAGGCCCACGGTGCAGAGCAGAGCTGAGGCAGGAGGTCAGCGGGACGGAGCAGATGGGGCAGCGCAGGCTGCAGGTGCGGAGAGGTGTTCAGTGAGGCGGGAGGACGTGGCTTCCCCTGTGCCAGCTGGGGGGTTGGTATGGATGGGTAGGGAACGTACTTTGTCTTCACCTGTTTGCCATCAGTGCTTGTCCCTCCTTCCCTGATCTTTCTCCACTCAGGGTGAGCCAACGTGCTGCTGCTTTGGCCCCTGAGTGTGACATGGGGGGCTGGGGGAGGGCTGTGCACACACCCCCTGTGCATGCACACATGCACAAACATTCTAACAGGAGACACCATAGCCCTTCTTACCAAACCCTTCTGCTCCATCCTGACAGTCACAGTCCCTTTCCTGTACCTCCATCTGCTAGAAGTGCCTCAACATCATCCAGACTATCACAGCAAGCCCATGAGAGCTGGGCTGAGGCCCTGCAGCTCGTTTCTGTGCTCAGCCCCGAGGCTGCTCTCCACAAGCCATGTGATGGCCATGCCAGGGAACTCTGACTGCATCCCAGCCTGAGACCAGGCAGCTGAGCTGCAGCAACCCCAGCTGCCTCCCAGTGCCCCCATTCAGAGACCCTGAGCAGACTGAACCATCTCCAACAGCCCACCCAGGGCAGGAGCTCTCTTCGTGAAGCAGCAAGGTGTGAGCAGGGTCATCCTCCCTCCAAGCCTGCCTCTGCTCCCTTCCAGCAGGGATGCCCTGATCCCACATCCCCAGTACATCCCACTTGCTCCCTGCAGGAGCTGCAGCAGCACAGCCACCCCAGCCCTCTCTGATCCCCTGGGATGGGCACACCACTCTCATTTGTGACTGGCATTTCCTGCCCAGACCTGAGCAGCTCTGCCCTGGCAAGGGGCTGCCAGGCTCAGAGGATGAGCAGGGCGCTGTGCTGCTCCCTGCTCCCCAAGTGACTCATTCATCCGTGCACAGGACCACAGGAGAAGGAAGGCTGGCCACTTCTCTCAGCTGGAGGCAAGGGAGTTCATGTATGTTTGTGGAAACTTAGGATCACTGTCTATCCATAAATCCAGGACCTGCTTACAAACACACCACCAGCTGCCTCTAAGTTAACTGGCAGCCAATGCAGGCAGATCTACAGGCCACTACTAATAAACCCTGCCTACCTGTGCCTGCTCGGGTTAGTGCAGTTCTGGCTCACTCTCCCTCTCAGAACCCCTTCCCTTCTCACACACCTGTGGCACGCAGTTTTATAGCTCCAGCCTGATGTTTTTAGAGTGAGCAGCTGGAAAATGTTACGGGTTTTTGAAAGCTCTCACTGGCACTGCCAGTATTGTTCATCTCTAGTGTTACTTTATTCATTTCAGCTTGTTTGTAACCCCACATCCTCCCTGTTTCATAGGAGCCCGGCAGAAACTGCTCTAGCAAACAAGCAGAGAGGAAAGCAACACCCCCCTCCCGCCTCCAGTGTAACAGCTCTTATGCAATTGAACGGAAAAAGTCTACAGTTTGTGTAAAACCCACATTCCTCACTGCCTGAGCTTTCCAGGTTTCTTGAAAACGTATTTAAACTCCAGTATGTATGTATTTTACAAGCAATTCCCTCCAAACCAAGCTGTTTTCACACGTAGGTCTGTGCGCTGCCATGCTCCCCTCCCGCACATCAGCACCCCCCGCGCAGAGCAGGTACACGCACCTACCCCAAATCCACACACGGGCACCCCATCCCCACCTCCTCCAGCCCCGTCCCGCACCGCACACGTGTCCCCACCGCACGCAGCCCTGGAAATACAACTCCCAGACCCTCCTCTAGATGGAGGGGGCCGCCGAGACATTGGGAGACCGCTGCGCTGCCGCCAGCCCTCGCTCGTAGCGGGCAGATGATACGGAGCGAGGGATGCCGCGGCCGGTGCCCAGGGACTCCTGCCCAGCCGGGGATGCCCTGGGGAAGGTACCCACGGTCAGCACCGGGGTTTGGGTACCCGCGGCCGCCCGTCCCCCGAGGGTGCTGCCCATAGAGCCCAGACGCGTGGCCGGTGCCCGGCGGCCGCGGTCAGCTCCCGGTAAGGGATGGAGCCCCGCTCGGTGCCCGGTCACGGCGGCTCCCGGTGCTCTCCGGATGGGTTGCGCGGCCGCGGCCGGAGGTCGCTTACTTGTGCTTGCCCACGGGCTTGCCGGGGCCGAGCTGCGGGCTGGAGCCGGCTGTGTAGAGGCTGTACCTGCCGCCGTAGGGCAGGGGGGCGGCGGGGGGGTAGAAGGCACCCTTGGCGTCGGCGAGGGCCAGCAGCGTCCCCAAGGAGAGGCAGGCGAGCAGCGCTCCGCGGCGGCGCAGCGCCCGCGCCCGCCGCATGGTGCGGGCCCGGCGGCTGGAGCGGGATGGGACGGGATGGGATGGGACGGGATGGGATGGGATGGGACGGGATGGGATGGGACGGGACGGGATGGGATGGGACGGGATGGGACGGGGCGGGACGGCCGCGGAACCCCACCGGGACAGCGCTGCGGAGGGGACCGGAGCGCCGCCCGCTGCGCCCTGCCCTGCCCGTCCCTGTCCTTGTCCCTGTCCCTGTCCTTGTCCCCAGCCCTGCCCGGCCCTGCCCGGCGGCACACGCCGCTCCGCCGCCCGCCCGTCCCCTTTTGTACGGCGGCGGCGGGGGCGGGCCGCGCTCCTCCTCCCGCCCTCCCACGGCCGCCGACCCCGGCCCCGCGGGCGGGGAGACAAAGCGAAGCCCCCCGACCCCCGTTCTCCCCCCGTGCAGCCCCTGCCAGCGCTGCTGCAGCCCCCGGCGGGGGCTGGAAGGGGCTCCCACCCTCTCCCGGCCCCTCTTCTCCCCTTGTCCCCATGCCCCCTCCCTGCGCACCGGGAGTTTGCCCCACGGGGTACAGGTGCAGCGGGCTCGGAGCCCTCTGCTCCCCCCAGTCCCCAGCTCTGCCCCGCTTCATCCCGGGGCACAAGCGAGAGGAAGGCTGCAGCGACCCCAGCTCTGTGCTGCCGGAGATTGGCAGCTGTCAATCAATCATACGGCTGGCACCAGCCTCGTGCATCCCCCAGGAAGGGGGAGAGGGAAGTGGTGCAGTTTTGGAGCCCTCCCCAGATTGTGGCTTTGGCTCCAGGCTCCAGGAGTGAGGTGGGAATCGCTTACCTTTCCCTGCAGAGCCCTGGATGTCCCGTAGCCCAGCACATTTCACCTTTCGTGGCTCTGGAAAGCATGTTTGTGTTTCCTTTCCATGCTGCCCTGCAGACATCCCTGCTATCCCACACCCCGATGCCCCCACCCACAGGTGACCCACTACAGGGTGCACCCTGAGCACCCTGCCCTGCCCTGCCAGCCCTCCCCAGGCTCCACACCATTAACCACAGCGGTTCAGGACCCTTTGTGTGAGCCATGGCTGTTAGGTAGGGGGGAAAAGGCCCCACCTGGGGCACTGGGCATTTGGGGAGGGGGTAACATCCCTGGTGCTACCCAGTGGAGGTCATACTGAAGCCCTGCAGATGTGAAGCTGTGCCAGGGAGCAGGAAATTTTGTGATATATGCAGGCAGTTACACCCTTGAGCATCCCACCAAAACCTCACCAGAGGTTTTTTTTATGAGCCTCCTCAGAAGCCAAGGAAGCACCATGACAAAGGTGTGCCATGCTTCTCCGAAACTCTTGGAGGAAAACAAGAGGTGGCTAAGAAAAGGTGGCTGTGTGAAATTCCAAATGAAGGAGTGAAACCTGCTGCTGGGGGAAGGAGGCATCAAGGCTTGGGCTGAGACAGAGATGATAAGATACTGAGGCAAACAGCCTTTTTCAGTTAAAATGTGTCTTTGGCTCGGTCTGAGGTGAGTACGGAAACATTATCAGGAGAAGAAAAATCCATCAGAAGGCTGAGCTGGGAGAGGCAAGCTGGACAGACCAGGCAGAAAACCAAGAGGAGGAAGGCTGAGCACTGAAGCAGCGCATCCTCTTGGTTCAAGCTGCTGCAGGGTGTTGCTGAGCCGCCCTGGCCTGTCAGGCTGCACCCCAGAGGTGCTGCAGCGTGGTTTGTACGTGGTACATTTGGCAGCACATGAAGCAATCCTCATCCAGCTGCTGCATTGAATTGTTCCGCTCCGCTGGGATGCTGCAGGAGGGACGGTCCACGAGCAATTCCATAAAAACAAACAAAAGCTGACCGAGCCTGCCTGGTTGAATGCTGGATGCCAAAGTGGAGAACGAAGCTCGAGCACAGCCTTAATTTTTTTTCCCTGTGCGCAGGGAGTGTGAGCCAGTTCTAATAACAGCATGCTGCACGTGTGTGTCTGAGGCCTCCGGAAAAAAACATCTGGTGTTGCACGGTTTGAGAAAGAGCCCTTGGCCCCAGCCCTGGAGCTGTGCTGTGCTGAATGGGTACTGCGGGGCTGAGGTAAAAGTGCTCCTTCATTCTCACCAGCTTGGCTGGGAAGGGAGGGAGGTGGGAGCCATTGCTCGTGGGTGGGTGTGTCTGTCTGTCTGTCTGTCTGGCACTGCTGTCCAAACCCACCTCTGAAGCACCAAATCCCTTTCTGCCAGATTTCAGAGTGAGGCAGGATCCTCAGAGATACTGAATCCCATTTTCTTGTTCTATTGTCTAATTGTTTATGAAAAAGGACATCTGAGTAGACAAGAGAACGCCAAACTTAGGTCCCAACTGAGGAAATGGATTCATCATCAACTCTTTTGTAAGACATCAAGGAATCCATACAGGAAAGAGACATTATGGGTGCCCCAAATAATGGGGAAAACTCTCATGTGCCCTATTAGCTGTGAGCTAATCCAGCCATGAGACACAGAGCAGCAGGAAGCTGGGATTTGTGAAGTTGCTCTTCTCAGGGGGCAGCTCAGGTTGAACTCTCTGGTGCTCAGCTGTGCTTCTGCCAGTCCCCACCACACTGCAAGCCCTGGCCGGGCACAGGAGGGTGCCCATGAGGAGCCTGGCATGGCAACCTGGCTTTGGAGAAGTTTCATGTGGAGAACAAACAGGAGACTCCTTTCTCCCAGGGCATCCTCCCAACCTGGGCATGTCCCAGGGCTGATAGAGAAGATGCCAAACGCCATCTCCCAGAGCTGTGAAGCACATGCTGAGCACTGAGCTCTCCAGCAGAATGGAAGGGCTTTGCCACACTGAACTGCTGCCAGAAGGCTCTGCAGAGCTGTTCTCTGGTCACAAGCACCAGCCCCTGGTGCTTCCCAGAGGAAAGATCTGCTTTCTCCCCTGGCTTCACCTGGAGAGTAAAGGGGATCAGATCAGAGCTGCTGCAGCTGCTCAAATCTGGATGCTGGGAAAACCCTACCCACAGGGGTGCCTAACCAGGAGGGTTGTGTCCATCAGTGATTCCCTATGAGCACACCCTACCATGGCTCACATGTGCCTGGGGCGCTTCCTTCTCCTCTTGGACTGCCAGGAGCTGATTATTTTGGTTCTACCTCTCACTCCTGCACAGCTATGCTCCAAGCCAGTGCAGAAACTAACAGGTAGTTTTTCCTACCAGGGACTCAGAGGGAACATTATGCAGGACACAGGAGGCACACAGAAGCAGGAGCTGAGCAGGAAGAGACGAGAGCAAGAGCAGAGGTTCTACAGGCAGCTGCTGCCCTGCCCCAGCTCCTGGGGAGGGCTGGGGGAACCACCACGAGGCTAATTTCACGAGTGGATGACACCAAACAGTGACCTGGTCTGCTTCCCATGCTTTTTAATTAACACTTGCATGGCCCCATCAGCTGAGTAATTGCCTCCCTTCATGGGTCAACAAGCCAGCAGCCCCTGACCTCCCATTCCCATCTGGGTACGAGGTTTGGTGCCTGCACAGGGGGGTGTGTGCTCTTGTACTACCAGACCCACAGAGACAGCAAAAGTGATAGCACAGCCCAGGAGCTCTGCAATCAGTCTGATCTTGGCCAGGACCAGCCTTGCCCACCTTAATGCTGAGCTTTAAATAGGTACCACTGGTGGAAAACCCCCCACCATGCTGGGCAGGAAGAGGGCAGTTGCTCTCTCTGTTGCCATGGGATGGGAGCAGATTGCAGCAAGGGAAATTTAAGTTGAATATTAGTAATAAAACAGTATCTGCTAGTAAAAATAATATAGCCCTGGAGGAGACTGTATTGAGCCATCTGGAGATTTTAAAGGAAAGGTTAGATAAAAAAAAGAAACCTGTCAGGACCAATTTGGGGTAGGGAAATGGATTGGATGGCTTCCCAAGAGCTCTCCCAGCCTGAGTTTTTTCCAAGTACAAATTCATTTCCCAAAGTGGCAAGGCAAGAGAGCAGCTCTATTTAGAGGCAGAGTTTCTCCCTAGTGATTCCCACTGGATCAAAGGCATTCCTTGAATTGGCACTCACAGAGGCCTTTTTCTCTTGGCAGCGTGTCTGTGTCTGTGTGAGAAAGGGACCCTTCTGCACAGCCTGGATTTCCCAGGTGCACATCCATCAGGACCCGCTCAGGGCTCATTCTCCCATGTCACAATCCCTGGGAAGGTCCCACAGCTATCCCACACTGCTTCCCCAGCCCCGGGGAGGGATGGGGACACTGTGCTGCCCAAACTGCCAGGCAGGATGCGTGTCCCAAATGCCACAGCAGTGCAGTGGGGTACCAGCTCAAGCAGAACAGTGATAGTTCTGCAGGTGCTCCAGTTCCCAGCTAAAACTGAGCTCAAAGAAAGTCCACCATGCTCATGATTCAGCTACAGGACTGGAAGCTCTTTTTGGCCCTCAGCACATGCTTCTGCCACATCCCTGCTCCTTGCTGGTCATGGACCACTTCTCCCATTGGTCTCAACAGGAAGGGGATGCATGTGTGCAGGTAGGAGGCATCCCTAGTGCATCAGAAACCCAGGCAAAGTCCCATTTGCCTTGTTTGAAGGTTGCCAAGGCTTTGTTGTGAACTAGCCCCTGGCCGCAGTCCCAGGGCTGTGATTGCAGAGTGTGTCCCCCAAACTGTGGGGTGGGGGCACCTGGGCTTGCCCAGGCTCTGGGGGAAGCCAGGGGCTGAGAACAAAATCCCTTTCTTTGTGGGAAAGTGCAGTGACTTGAAGTGGTCGGGCAGCCTTATCTCTGGTTTCGAAAGCCACACGCTGATCGTTTGTCAAGATTAGCGCGTGCGGTGGAAGGGATGGAGCTGCTCCAAATCCAGGCTCACATCTCTTCCCTGGGCTCACGGCCATTCATAAAAATGCCAGAGCAGCAGCAGCGGCGGCAGCACATACTGGGCTTGTGGTTTAGGGAGGACTAGGAGGGGTCAACCACAGGTTATACAAGCTCTGAGCGGGGAAAAGAATACACAGGTTGCTTTATTTATATATCCATTAGCATCTTTCCTTCAGGAAAATGTGCAGGGAGATTGGCAGTGGGAGATTTAGCAAGGATGAGGGGCAGGCAGGAGGTGATGTGATTAAAAAACTTT